ATGCCGCTACTGATGTAAGTGATCCGTTTTTTTTTTTTTTTCCGAGCTACTTTTGTCTCATTTTCGGTAATTCGTAAATTCTTGTGGTAATATTCATGGGATCATTTGAATGAAAGCAGTGATTTTGTAATTTATTGCCACTTTTCCATGGTAGTTTTTTTTCTTTTGGGCGGGAGGGGAGTTGAGAAATTGTAATTTTACGCTTATTTTTATTTACATTTACTTCTGAAATGATAGCTGAAGTTTTTGCTTGTTAAATTAATTATCTTTGGACATTGTAATAATTTTAATACCACAGATTTACATTTTTAAAGGAATGTCTTTGAATAAATATTTTGTGGTTGAAATTTTACTAACGGTAAATAGCGCAGCAACAGTTAAGCTATCCAACTTTATTGTTGTTCACCGATTTGTCAATTTGTTTTTAAAAAACAGGAAAAAATTCTGTTGTCAATTGCATAAGTTGCTAGGACGACAGGAAAAAATTAAAACATTTTTGTCCCCAAAATCTATCAATTTTTTTCACTTTCTTTTTGCAAATAAAATTGATTTTACTTCTCTTCCTCGTTTGAATCAAATCGCTTCCCAAATTCTACATGCTTTAACAGGTTGTTATTGAATTCTTCGTAAATTATGTTTACATATTTGTTGATATAAAAAACAGTTTTAAGTGGAGACGTAAAGGATAATTTGTGCCGTATCTATCTACTCAGTGGTAAAAAAAAGTTCTTGTTTTTTTCAGGCACTGGTTCAATAAAATCAACAAAGTTTTATAACGTCCTTAACATTTTATATGTCAATCTTTTTTTTTAAGACTACAGACATTCTGATGTTGCTGATACAGCAAAATTTTCCCAGTTGTTCTTCGTGCTTATTTTATTTTGGTTTAATTAGGTTTATCAGGATCAAATTACTTCATTTAACCTTTCGTACTTTACTCTTTCACCTGCTTAGGTAATTATTTTGAATAATAAAATACTCCTCCTTTGCAAAAGACATTACCTTTTATCAAGGGTTACCAAATCATAAAACATTGCTTTAATCGTTAAAATTTTAACTGTAGTATATGTATCAGGAATATGGCTATAATTTACACGCAGAGAAGGGAAAGCAGCAATTTATTGGGACGGTAGATGAAAACAGCCCGGCTGCAAAAGCTGGCCTCCGTTCTGGTGATCGTATCTACGCTGTTAACGGTCAGAATATAGTTGGTGAAAGTCACCGTCAGGTTAATGATTTTAAAAATGTAATTTGAAATTGTGAATGTTTTGAGGGTAGTTCACGTTCTTAAATAGTTTAAATGAAACACGATCGTTTTCCTTATTCCAGAAAATGGCCTTTTTTTGCTATATTTCTATAAAAACACGGTGTTTTAGAAGGCATAGAGACTTCCAGTTAATTATTTTTTGATGGTGGTTTTTGAGTGCTTTGCTGCCTAAAATTAACTGGAGAGTGTAACAGTTTACGTGATGTCTAAAAGCTGCTAGTCATAAATACGTTTTTTAGATTGCAAACTATTCAACAACTATTTTGGAAGTATATGAAACAGAACTCTGTTGAAATATTTTTTGGTGCATTCCTTTTATTGTTGGCTCAGTTGGGGTGCATCTCTAAAAGGCAGAACACCAATTTTCCACTGCCCTTAAGCCATTTTTTCCTCCTCTTACTGATTGATCTTTTGCCTAGTTTAAGTATAGTTTCAAAGAAATTTCACACTTTTAACAGATTGGTTGTTTTTTAATTAACAGCGGTAGTTGGAACATTGAAACATTGAAATTATCAAATGTTTGTTTCGACCAAAATCTTTCAATGGCTTTGGCTACTGATGACGTGACTCAGGGATGAATTGGGAGAAGGGGGTGTTGAAAAAGTCATGGGTTTTTTGTCTAGAGAAGACGTGGGTCTCTTTTAGAGCATGCTTTAAGCTTTAAATATGGGTAGTTTGAAGCATAAGGTGTGTATAAATTTATTTTCGTTTTCTAGTTTTGCAGGCTCATTAGGAACGCTATAAACAACGTTTATATTACAGAGCTTTTCTTATTTTTCAAAGTAATTGAATGGGACCTCTTGATAACATTCTTTAGCAAATCTTTCCTTTGAGTAATCACAGGTAATTCTTAGTTGGAAAACGAAAGCTGTTGACATTTTTGTGATTTTATATGTGTGTTTTTCTAAGGTGCGATTTATTATAACTTTTTTATATATAGATATATGTAATTTTCTGTATGACGTGTGTGTTGTAAATATATAATCCGGAAAGTGTCGGCTTGTGCTTTCTTCTGTTGGGGACAATTTGTGGCGTCTTCCATTTCATTAATAGACCTGGTTCTAATTATTTTATTGCCACTATCACTGCTTCAATCCCTGACCAGCATCTATTTGGTTGAACGATACAGTTAATTTTTAGAAGTTTTCCTGTACAAGAAAGAAAGGAAGAATTGTTTTGCTTTTATTGTTTTGGAAAGTTAGTTACGTATTTTTTTGTTCAATCAGTTACATATTTATTTATATTTTTCCGTCTTTTTTTTGGCCTTCTGTGGAAGGTCTAATTTTTTTTCTCAGGAGGCCTGTTAATTAACATCAGGGTTGCTAAATCTTTCTTTGTTTTCTGGACGATCCCCTGGAATGAGTATCAATTTTTAGGCTATCATTTCGATTGGACCATCAAGGAACAAAAAAAGCTTCGAAAAACTTTTACACTTAAACTTCATTATTGTTCAAGTCTGCTTTCTTTTTCTTCTTGAATCTTTTATCTTATTTATTTATTTATTTTTTGGACCTCAGCTTCCGATAAAAATCTTAGTTTAATTCTTTTTCGGAAAGAAATAGGGCTTTTTTTTGAAACCTTATTTGCTTTTGGGGCTTCTTATTTTTTTTGGACTACTGGTTAATGATGTTCTATTATTGTGAATGAAGAATAGATTTTTTTTTAGAGTGTATTAGGAAATAAAATCTAAATTTTATTTTTGGTTTCCAATAATTAAAGTATTTTATATGCATTACAATTAATTTTACTCATTATTTTATATTCTGCGTCCTCCGTTTCGAGCGAGGTTGTAGAGGACGGCGGTTAGGGAGGTGGTTAAATTTAGTTAGGATTCGAAAAACTTGGTAAAACACTTATTGCTTAGATTTTTAGCTGTTGTAACATATATTTAGTGGTTAGGCAGAAGTTCTTTTCATTGCTTCATTTTTTACCATCATAATCGGAGTTTTCTGGGTTGTACATTTTTTGTACTCTCGTTTCTTACTCCAGTTATCCAGTCAGAATTTTAGGTGTTTGTTTGAATGAACTTTTCTGATCTCAGTTTTATGGCCAGCTGAAAAGCAGTGTGGAAATTCGATTCATTTTTTCTATTTATCTTTTGCTGGTTTTCTTCATTATAAGTGATTTACCACTTTTTCTTTTTGTTTAGTCTTTTGTGTACTCATTTTCTTGTAACACAGAAAGAGTACGTATGAAACAAGTGATCTGTGTTTTATCTCGACGAGTGATTTGTTGTGGTGTTTTTGTATTTTGAAAAGTAACTGGAAGATTGCGGACATCAAGCATCACAGTTTCATTATTTAGTGAAACTGTAATTCTGAAAAAAAACTTTTGGTTTTCAAGGAGCGGTTCCTTGTTCTTTTGAAATATCATAAGTAAATGAATAGATTTAACTTAAAGAAAATTTTTGTTTTGAAAACGGCTAGGTTTCAGTTACATAATTTGTTCTTAGTCTTTTTTAAACTTGAATCTGATATACTCTTTTGTATTTGAACTATTCCAATTGCCTTTTTTCATCACAGATGGAAAGTTGTGCTCTTGAATTTGTTTCGTTTTCCAGAATTCAATGAGAAGAAGAATTTGCTATAATTTGGTCATAACACTTGTTGGATGATTTCTGCACCTGCAGTTTTTTTAGTTTTTATTGACATTAGTCCAATTTTGTAATTAGGACTATAAAATTTGGTTTTTTTATTGTTTTATTTTTTCTGAATTTTTTGATTTTAATATTGAGGCAAAATTTACTTTCCAGCTTTTTTTTTTTGATAAATATACATTGGTCTTTGAAATGAAAATTATTGTCAAATTTTCTGTTCAGGTCGTACAGAAAATTAAAGAAAATCCGTTGAGGTGTGAATTACTTGTCATTTCTGAAGAGGGAGCCGAATGGTATAAGGAACACAACATTCCAATAACAACTTCATTGCCAAATATAATACATGTTTCTGAAGAAGAGGTATATTTTTGTTTTAGTTGTCTGTTATATTCGTTTTTAAGAAATATTGTAGTTACTAATTAGGTTCAAAAATACATTAGTTGTCTTTTAATTCATCTTTTCTTGTATAGGACTTGTTTGCATGAGTATTATAGGTAGTAGATAAGGATGACTTGTTAGTTCGGTTTCTTTTTGAATGGTTTGGGCTTTGTAGGGCAAAAAGATCAAAAGATTTCTAGACTGCTTTGTACAGTTTATTTATATTTTGTGCAGTTTTATAGTTGATTGAAGATGTAGGCGTACAGTGAAGAAACACTTTTTGATGAGTCATTCATTTCCTTTGCATAACAAATTTTACACTTCTTCATGAGAAGAAATTTTCTGGCGTATTATTTGAGCTATAATTGTTAGTAACCAATATGAACGTAATTGCGATTTTTGAGTGAGATAACAAGTGAAGGTATTCCAGGCTGAAGTAATCGACACGAAAACGGAAGCAAATAGTGGATCGCCCACTCCAGCAGCTTGGTATACTCCAAAAGTACGTTTTTGAAGTTTAACTTGTACAGATTATTCATCTTGTCTGTATTTTCACTGTGCGCTCTGTATAGATATTCTCGTCTTTTTTTAGAATAAATTTTTGTTTATCAGATTGCAGGGGCTGGTCTGATAGTTGCAAAAGTGAGTAGAAATTGAAAGGCTGAATTTCTGAAACTGTTCCGTGTTTATAGCGGAACTAAAGATCTTCAAATCACAAGAAGTGCATTTTTATTAGAGTTACTGCTGTGGTTCTAATTGAATTCTTGCTTCTGCTGTGTCGAAGGTTTTTTGGAGCTTTATGTTCTAATGGATAATGAAGTTGTGTGCTCTAAAATTTCTATTAGCCTTGTGGAATGTCACGGCTCAATTTTTTGGCTATTTATTTATTTATTTCGTTTGCAGTGCCATGAAAAGAATTGAACAAATTAATTATTTTTGCTGACAGCGTCTGCAGCAAAAGATTTTAATAAGATTGCCAGCTATGCAGGCATGATAGCTTTTCTACTTTTTTTTTTTTTTTTTTT